CCTCTCCTTGTTATTATCTTCAGTACTTTTCTTTTCGGATTTACTTTCTCCATCTAGCTTTTGCTCAACTTCACTCTGCTGAACTTCTTTAGCATTGTTCATCTCGGCCCTATTCAACTCCCGATTTTTATTCTTGCTTCTCATCCTTCTCTTTCCAAGATTCATCGTATCTCCACTGCCATCCTCACCATGGTCCACATGCAGTTGCCTTTTTTCCAAATCTTCATTCATGTAAGCATCAGCAACTTCAGCCCCCTTATTTTTCTTCTTCTTCGATACCTTTTTCTGATTCCTATGCTCTCTAAACGTATCTTCTTTATCAGATAATGAAACCCGAACTTGCTCGATCGGTTTTACAGCACTAGAATTGTGAGTATCTTGTGTTCCCATGAGTCTTTATTTGTTCTTATCAGGATTCTTTTCTTTGGCTTAATTCACCTTTCTATATCTCTGGGCACACATCTCTTAAACTCATTTCTTCAGCTATAGAGAAAAAAATAAATAAATAAATCAAATAAAATCAGAAAAATCAATAGCTGAGGGTCATTTCAACCAAACAAAGAAAGAAACAATTGCATTGACATGATAAAATTAGAGTCCGAAACCTGCACATAAACTAGGTTTCATACCAAAATAGGGCTAAACACAAGAAGAAAGTGATAAATCCTACTATTAAATAGAAACAAAATCACACATTACAACAATCAAAAGCCCAAACAAATAAAAGAAGAACTCAAGCTATCATGTACACATAGCCACAGACACACACAACGCATGTGCAAGGACATCAAATTTCGTAGCTGAAAAACTATTAGTAAGAGCAAATCCTGAAATAACAAATATCACAGGGGATTTCGGATTAAGTCATTAGGATAAGTGGTGTTTGAAGTAAGAACCTACCTATTTGGAGCTCCGATCGCGCCGCCAAGTTCGTCACCGGCTGCGTCTGCCGTTCGGAGATGGACCGTCGACTGAGGGATGATTATCTATTCTGTCGCTCCCCTCAAATAAATTGATTGGGCCTTTAGTCGCACTCTTATTTGTGGCTCTTTATTTCCTTGGGCCATTTGTGGCTCTTTAGTTTAGACTTGATTTTTGGAATAGAATAAAATAATTTTGGGCTCAGTTTGAGCCCAATGATTTCAGCAAAACCTATAGGCTGAAGTACATATAAACGAATCATTTGTTATGGTTTTTTCATACTACAAGATCTCAAACTTATTTCCACTTAAGTCTCCTAAGAGATAGTTAATTACAGCTTTTCGTGAATTCATATTTAAAGAAATTTAATTAATTAAGTAGAAAGTTTGTAGAAAGCGAAATCAAATCAAAATACTGATCATTTCTCTCTCTAATAATTCCCTAAACCTGCCAATTACCCTTTTATTAATTAAGACTTTTTATTCTTCTAGAAACTA